TGGCAGTGTACACTCAGTGGTTATGAGTTTTATTGTGGGATCAGGGTGACCTATGTTCAAGTCTCAGCTCTGGTATTTGATACCTTGGGCAAGTTATTCACTCTAAATCTACTTTGCTTGCTTGAAAAGTAGAGTTGGTGATAATAAACTAGCACTGTGATGAGAATTGAATGAATAAATAAATAACAAATGAATTAGAGATATACAAAGAGAATAGATGATCTGGTTTCTTGCTTTCATATAGTCTTATGCATACAATATCCAACGTAGAAAAATTGTTAAAAAAAATCTTTGGTGGTCAGTGACGCATGGTCATGGGTTACAGTTCCATTTCTCTTGAAATTAAGTAATTCTTCCACATCCTAACCAACCTTCTTATGAAAGTAGAAACATTCCTTTGAGTTTTGTCTTTTCTGAAAAAAAAAAATCCAATTATCTTCAATGTGATATATTTAAACATTGTTATCATTTACCATCCTTCCTCTCCAGGTTAGGTTACCTGAGTTTTCAAAATGTCCTTAGAGCTATTATTTCATTTTTTTTTATGAATTACAATGGCTTTCTCCCCCCCATAAGTTCTTTCTTTTATTTAATAAACATGAATTTACAAAGTGCAACTTTTGTATTGTTGTGCCCCCCCCCCAACTTCCCTCCCTTCCACGGCTCTCCCCTCTCCCACCCCCTCTCCCATCCCGCCCTTCATCGAGTTTCATTTTCAATCACCTTCATATACAGAAGATCAACTTAGTATACACTAAGCAAGGATTTCAACAGGCGGCACTCACACAACCGCACAAGGTATAGGGCATTGTTCAACTAGTAGTGTTGTTTTTAAGTTTCATAGTAAAACACATTAAGGATAGAGATCCTACGTGGGGAGCTGTACTCAGTGACTCCCGTTGTTGATTTAACAATTGGCACTCTTATTTATGACATCAGCAATTACCCGAGACTCTTGCTATGAACTGTCTAGGCTATGGAAGCCCCTTGAGTTCACCAACTCTGAACTTGTTTAGTCAAGGCCATATCACGGTGGAGGTTGTCACTGTTGTTCGTGAATCTGATTCTAAGGATTCTTCTGTCCACAAGTGGCCCTGACAATTTGTCCATCATTTATTGGGGTTTGCTAAAGTTAGGGAATATCTTCTAGTGGCATCTAGATTGATTTTTAACTTTAATTCAGTAGAAGCAGTAAACACACATGCACACACACATTCACTTCACTTTTCTGCTAAGAAGAAGCAATCTTTGCAAAACAATGGGTAGGCTTCAATCAATAATGAAGGTTTGTAGCAGAAGGAAGAATACTTCATAAAAAAGAAAATCATTAAACAGAGAGTATTTAAGTAGGGAAAATATTTTTTTTTTAAAAAAGGAAATCCTTAAGCTTTATCCAAATGAACCAGAAGGTCATATTCCTCAATCAGGAATTGAGCTAAGTAAACCTTTCAGACTACCAATTCCTGATTCAGCAACAATGAAAAATTTATTGATGGCTGTTCTTGGCATTGGTCCTTCCTTCTCTGCCACAGAGATCCTATTAATGGAAATTGCACATAAGTTTTCTTCATTTTGTTTCTTCAGATTTATTCCTGTCAGCAGGTAAGAATGGCAACTGTTTGGAATCAAAAACACCATTAAGAAAATATCATCCCCTATTCTGTGGAATCTGCTAGAATTGGTGTATTACTGCTTTGCAAAATCAATGCCTAAGAGTCATACAGGAACTTTTGTCTGATTAACTGACAAGAATCACAATACAGCCATGCTCGCTGCTGTTTTGAGCTAAAAATGAAGGGGGACAAGTATGTCTGGAGATAATAATTTTTTTTGGAGAATAGAAGAAATGGCATATGATGCCACTTGTTTCTGCCCCTCTGTTGATAGCAGCTTAGAAGTACATTGGGATGAGTAGTGTTCAAAGGGATTATTATTTTCAACTGGTGCCACAGCTCACTAGGCTAATCCTCCGCCTGTGGTACCGGCACCCCAGGTTCTAGTCTTGGTCGGGGCGCCGGATTCTGTCCCAGTTGCTCCTCTTCCAGTCCAGCTCTCTGCTGTGGAGCGGGAAGGCAGTGGAGGATGGCCCAGGTCCTTGGGCCCTGCACCTGCATGGGAGTCCAGGAGGAAGCACCTGGATCCTGGCTTCGGATCGGCACAGTGCGCCACTGCAGCACGCCGGCCATAGCGGCCACTTGGGGGGTGAACCAACGGAAAAAGGAAGACCTTTCTCTCTGTCTCTCTCTCTCTCACTGTCCAACTCAGCCTGTCAAAAAAAAAGGGGGATTATTATTTTCAAATAACTTAGGAAAAGCCTAGCTTTAATGCATCATCACCACAATTTCTTTGTTTCAGAATTTGGCAAGTGTAAGAGTAAACATGCAATTTTTTCAACCTTGGCTATTCTCATTCCTCCATACTAGGCCCAGATCTCTTGAATTCTTAAGTACTTGCTGAGCAAGACCACATTAATTACAGTCAAACAAGACAGACACAGGAGAGCAGGGCCCTGGAACCTCATCTAAATACAGGAGTGCCACCTCTAGAATGCAATAAAATGAAGAAAAATCATGGCATATGAAAGAAAATAACAACAATGACAATGCCTAACATTATGAATGCTTTAAGACTTTAGATTCATTTCTAACATGATGTCTAAAGGGAAATAACACCCACTTATTGAATATTTTGAATAATATATGTGTTTTATGGATGTCAACTAATTTAATCACAACAGTTTTATGAGGTCACCTAACATATTATGACTTCATTTTTAGGCAAAGACACCAAATTGAGGGAAAAAAAAAAACAACTAGTCCTGGTCATCTACTTGGTAATGGTGGAGGTTTCAAGCCCAGAATCCAAATCTAGAGGTTATGCTGATACCTGTGCAATAAGGCAAGTGATGTTGTGAGCTTAGAAAGGGTCTCTAGAAGTGGGCTTACAGGTGTGCTTCAGTAAGTTGTGACTATTGATAAGTAATTTCAGAGAGCAGGCCCATTGTATGTAGTGATATTTGCCATCCTAACTCTAGGGTTTGAAAATTCAAGGGAATTCTCAGTAGTGTAGATCTTTGGGATTAGGAAGACTACTAAAAATGGTATTCGTAAGTGGAAAATAGAGGAAATGATCACCTGCATCAGGACAGTGTGGGAACTGAGACTCAGACACAAAGGAAAGCCTCTGTCTCAAGGTCAAGGCTAAACTGGCGGTAGGAGTGACTTTAGGTCAAGTGTGACAATGTCAGAGTGGTGACTTTTAAATCCAACCTGTCTAAACTGATAACCATGGATCTGAGAGATGGGCAGCGTAGGAGGCTCCTGTGGTCAAACAGCTCACTCTCCAGAGGAAGCTTGGCAATTCTCCCCAGGGCTGGCCTTAGCATTTCAGGATAGGCAAGTTATCATAGACAAGCTATTGTCTAAGCCAGGGTTAGCATAAAGCCAAAAGGAGAACTTGGGCTGCTTTGAGGTTCATTATCTTATTTTCCGCATCAAGCAATTAAAGCCTCTCTGGGATGGCCCAGACCTGTGTGTGAATCACTGAGTAAAAATGACTCAGGATACTGTATTTGACACTGATGGCTCGTTCAAAAAACACACCCACGTGTGGGAGCTTAGGTTCTTGAGCTCCTCCATTTGATCTGGAAGCGGTTGTCATGTTGGGCTGTACTTGATTTTCCAGATTTTGTTGGCTGTCCTGATTGATTCTTTCTCTCTCCTTTTCTACCATTAAATCTTTTACCTTTTTGGAGCTGGGGTCACCATGATCATTGGTGGGTTTTGATTCTTAATAAAATATACATTTCTTTGGAACTTTGAGGGACATCCTTCCTGTAATTACATCCTGGTTTCTGTCTTCCCCAAGCTACACAAAGCAGGAAAAATAACTTTATAAGTTTTTGTATTTCCTCTTTGCATTTGTTTTTGGGGAACAGAGTCATCAGTAAGAGAACAACAGAATGAATATCTCATAAACATTTGATGCCATTAAATAAAAGATTCTACTTATCTGGACATTGCAGATTCAGTAGTGAGGCAAATAAAATTTGTTCATCCTTAACCAATGCCATAGTGTAAGATCATAAAAGTAGTTTGTGCTAGAACCAGTTCCGTACCAAGCACATTACCAAAATAGAAGAGATAATACCTTTCAGCAATGCCATGAAAAATGGTGTTTTCAAGCCGTAATAGGATATTAAAAACCCTTTATAATCACAACTACTACTGACTATGGGTGAAAATTTTCTGCAGGCATAGGTCTACAGAAAGAGTATTCATTATTTACATTAAAAATTCCAGCATGACCTTTCTAACAGTGAAAGTGTGTGAAAATTTGCATGAATAATCAAAGGAGTATGCATTCTTTTGCATAATATCTTGGTTAGATTAGTTGCTCTTAGGCTGAGGGGTTGCAGAGTTCCCTTTGTCCAACGAGTGTTATATAATGAAGGGCTTGCACAAGTCAGACCTGCATTGGAGTCTTGTGTTCTCTAAAGCTTACCTCTTTCCTTTTCTAAACCTTTTATGGAAATTATATTGTTGGGGACCTTCTTTTGTTCTAAAAAAATGGGGACACTGAAAACTAATAAAAAGGGAAATGTAAAGTTAACACGTATGAAAACTGCTGGCATAACTGAGACAATGTGTAAGATGGATAAATACACCTGTTTATGCTTACATCTTGATGTAAGGCAGTTTGGTGTTATATTCAAGAGCATGACATTTGGAATCAAACCAGCAGGGCTGAATTCCATTTCTCACCCCAGCCCATATCATGTGCTTTTTTTGAGCAAGTTACAAAATTTCTTTAAGCTCATATCATCACATACTCAAAACAGGAATTATAACACCTGACTGATAGAGTGGTGAGAGGATTAGATGAGAACATTTCTATAAGGCACCTAGATGCTGTCTAGCACATATGGTAAACACCCATTAAATGGTACCTCCTCTCTTGTTATCAGCCACATTTTAAAAAGATTCTTTTTCTTCAGGATTTCATATTGGTACTACTGATAGATACATCAATGTGAAAGCACCCTTGTGGAGATGTTTTTATAAGCTGAACACCAACAAGGATTAGGAGAAGTAAATTCAGGTGGGTGTTTATGTTCCATATATTAAGAGCCACAAAAAGTTTATTCCTAAGGGAGAAATGCTCATGACAGCATAAAACAAATGCTACAGATACAAGTTATAAATGCACATGGTCTTATTTCAAAATGTATTATATAGTATTCCAGCTATGTGATTTGGGCGAGTGCCTTCATCTTTAGATAACTCATGGTCCTCAGATGTAACATGGAATAACACTGATAGGTGAATTGAGAGAATGGCAGGATATGACCTATGTTCCTAAATTTGTGTATATGAAATGCATGAAGTTTATATACCTTAAAGAAGAGGTTTCTAGGTGAAATAAATAAATAAACATACACACATGTAAACAAAAAGAAGAGAACTTGTCACAGAGTCTGGCACAAGGTTATTGACTGATACGAGTTCATTCTTGAAGGTTGCTATCCTGAAGATTTCAAAATGTGCAATGGGTAGAGTTTTTTAAAAGATAGCTAAAAATAATGCAGTTTTTTATCTCAAATTGCTCTGTCATAACATATGGTAGATGCTATTTTAGATCATCACATTTCAAACTTAAATGTTGGTGCCCTTTCTTCTATTGCATGTCACTTTACTTTTGACTCTCAGCAACTTAAAACTGAAACTCAGTCTCAGTGTGAGGTTTACCCTGTAATCAAAGTGCCAGTTTTCTTCAAAAAGTCCTTTGTGTATGAGGTTAGAATCACAAAAGACTAGAACGCTTTTCTGCCTTTTAAGATGGTAAGGAAGCATGCTGCACGAAATATTCCTTGCAAGACAATATTGAGATTTACATTATCAAAAATTCAAAGATCCTCTTTTCCAAAGCCGAAACCACCAGAGCCTCAGGACAATCTAGACAAGGCAAGATGCAGCCAGCCAAGCTGGCCAGTGGTATTGCTGGGGATGAGTTAGAGGAAGAATCACCCTGGAGCAATGGTAGCTCTCAGAAGGGGGCCTGCCCTTCACAATTTAAGCTCTTTGAAGCTGCATTTCCTCCAAGCAATGAGAAGTCTTTGTGGTGATGGGAAACATACATTTATAATTACAGAAGAACACAGTGTACACTAGACATGGTAGAAAAGAATGCAAGGGTTTAGAGGGAAGCCTGACTTACACCCAGCCTCGCTCATGAGAATCTTTCCTGAAACACTGGCATTTCATCTTTGCCTAACTGATGACAGAGGCAACATTCCTCTATGGCCTCTTCTCTTTTCAGCGCCCCGTGTGACTCTAAGCAAACCAGGCCAGCACGGTGTCCTGGGGTGCTCTTTGCAAATCCAGCCGTTGGAAGAAGATGCATAAAATCATAAAATGATTTTAGTAACCTATGAACATATATGCTTTCAGAACATCTGAGAAAATGAATAAAATGAAATTGAATCTTGTCTAGAATATTTTTAACTCCTTTGAAGAAAGCTTGTGCTGATTGGCCTGTTCTACCTGATTTGTTACTTTTTATTGTACTTGTGGAATTAGCCCTAATATACTTAAGTCATACATTCATGCAACCTAAAATATGGAATAAGAAATACTCATGTTTGATTGATGAGAGAAAAAAGGTAATATTAGCAAGAGTATAAGCAGAGATAATTCAAGTGAATTTATTGCAACTTTCATTCTATATTTCCATATTTAATTAACAATTACTACAATTTTCTATTTTGAAATTTCAGTGGAGAATATATAAAATCATAAACTAATTAATTCAAAGTGTAAGTAAAGCTTCCACAGTGAACTTAAGCATAAACAAAAAAGCCTTCAGAGTGAGAAGCTAAAGGTTAAAAAATGGGGAATCATTTACTTAAGATACTGTGTAGGGTGCCTGCATGCTATATTGGACTGCCTAGGTTTGAGTATCAGCTCTGCTTCTGAGTCCAGGTAGTCAGTCTCTCTTTCTCTCTCTCTTTCTTTTTATCTGCCCCTTGAATAAATAAGTAAATATAAGTAAATGTTTTTTAAAAAGAAGCTGTAGTAAATTCTCAAAGAATTTCCTGCTGGGTGCCACATTATAGATAAACTATTAGGGACATAATATAAAATATTTCTGAAGCATCAATTTCTAAGCTAATAGCCAAACCCACCCTAAAGAGCAACAACGAACACTACAGTGTTAGGCTTTGTTGGCTGGTTGTCATTATACAAAAGGGTAGAAAAAGGGAAAGCACTCGTTTTGGAATCAGTTAAACCTAAGGCTTACATTCTTGAGTATTACTCACTAGCTTCTTGAGTTAGCAGTCACTGAACCTTCCTAAACCTTACAAGTTCCTACATATGATGAATATAAGAAAGAATTTCTACTGATATTTGAAGATCCATGTAACCAGCCTAGTTCAAGTATTAGCATACAATTAGTGATTAATAAATATTAGCTTTTTCTTCTTTATTTCTATCTTATGCCTTTTTTCTTCTGAAATATGTACATGCTCTGAAAAGAAAGACCGCTATAACTCTAAGAGCCAGTCTTGGTCCTTTGAATGCCAAGGTTTTTGGTCATTTCCTTTTCCCAGTTTATCTCTTCTTTCACGTGTGCATGTGCATTTGTTCATGTGTGTGGATGTGAGTGCATATGTGTGCATGTGTATTGTTACCTGTTTCTGGATTTGCTCTTGCTGGCCACAAATAAGGCAAGTTAAGGGCCAAAGAGAGTCTTTTTATGCATAAATGGCTCTAAAGTTCAGTATGTGACTCATTATTTAATTGTGGCTTAATAGCCTACATAGGTCACAGGAGGTAAAACTCAAAAATAATGAAGCAAGTGCTTCATTGAATTGATGACATTATTATATTCATATATTTCAATTTCATTATGATGAAGTAGATGGCACATTTGTCTAGAAAATCTTGACTAGATTTTCTTCTTGACACCACTTCTGATTTATCTTTATGACTATACCTGGGTGTGTCAGTTTCACAGCTTCAAAATAGAAATCACAGAACAGTTGCCCTCTTCCCCACAGCAATTTTTCATGTTTAAATTCTAATTATATTGTAAGTAACTTGAATACCCTGATACCAAATCGAAATAGCATCTTGAACATTTCAAATGTATAATAAAAACCTCTGTTTCTGTCTGCCCTGCCTCCTTCTAATGTGTCATTTTAGAAATGTGATGAATTTGGCTATGGTTAAGGAAAAGAAACAAATCAGAATAAAAAGAAAAAGGAGATAATGTTAGTATGTAGCCAGTAGCACGTGTGTGTGTGTGTGTGTGTGTGTGTGTGTATTGGGAGGATGAAGGAAAGTAAAAAGCATTTTTGGAATGATAGGATTTCATCTAATTAGCAGTGAATTTGGTCCCAAAAACCATTGAAAGTAAGTGGCAGTGGGTTGACAAGGAGGAATTAATATCAAAATCAGCATCGCAAACAAACCAGGCCATTCTCTAGGTTATGTAGCTGCTGAGGACTGATAGAAAACAGAAATAGCTCATATTAGAAATGATGATTGTTCAGATAGCCAGTATTCTATTACATATAGATGGCATATGTGGAATATTTTTGTGGAAAAAATAAATGAAAAACTGATTATAGGGATCATAAGTGAGAACCACCTGGAAATGAGTGACAGTCATAATGAAGAACCAATGCTGTAGGTTTGACTGGAAACTCTGTGAGGCAGAGGATCATAAATCCTCTTTTCATCATGGTATTTGCCACAATGCCTTATGCAATAGGGGATTGGGGAATATTTGTTAAATGAATACAGTGTTAGCAGAAGGTATCTCTCTTGATGTGAAGAAGGTGCTGTTCCCACATAAACTGGAATACACCCAAATCCTAGGACATTAATTTCTGAGGCTTCCGCTTCCTTCTAACAGAGTTATTGTAACTCTTACAATCACAGGCATGGACAATCCACAAACGACTGATCACTTTCAAGTATCTGCCTTCATCACCTACAAGAGACCACCCATTGTAATCTCACATTAGTTGAATTCAGCCATTGTATTCTTGCTGAAGCACAAACCTTAATCTGAAGCTACTCCTCCCTTCAGCCAGAGGGAAAAATATGAAGACTTAACTCTATTGCATCACTAGATTGAAAGTGACTCAGGGAAGCTTGCTCCTGTATAGCTGTTTCAGAGAGGTTGACCATTAATAATGGCTACCATTTACTTAGCATTTACTTTATGTCATAAATTCTCCTGAGAATTGTACATAACTGTCATCAGTTAATACTCACATTAATTTGACAATCTGGGAAGTATTTTTGACTCATCTTAAAATGAGAAAATGGAAATACAGAGGTCAAGTAACTCAATCAGATGTTTAAAGGTAGAACCAGAATTTGAATTGAAGTCTGTCTGACATTGGATCAAGTCAATGTGTCAAACTATTTGTCTCTTTGACAATCAGTGAGAGGGATTAGTGACAAAGTCATCTCCACTTTACCAAATCTCAGCTTTTCTACTTACATCTACCACTCTCTTGAACTATCTCTGGAGTTTTTTTTTTTTGTTTTTTTTTTTTTTAAATGCTGCTTCATTATAATGAGAACAGCTCTACTGAACTAAGAAAATTGAAAGGTTATTAATTTTAAAGTGTTCAAACCTCTTTGCTAGCTTTGACTTGAATTACTTTTGGCTCTCCCATGAATGCTTCATAAATCTCTATGGTGAAATGTGGCATGCTTAGGACTTCTACATACCCTGTCCCAGACACAATAGAAAAGGCACATGAGGCCCTGGAACTGTCTCTACTTTTTGTCCCCTCTTCTGTGCATAGTTGACTTTGCTCTGGTATTTATTGGCTTCCTCCATTTTGTAAGAAACATGGCCACTGGGAGAGAGATGCCTTTCTTCCCTTAGACCAATTGGAAAACAAGGCAGAACCCTAGCCATCTCTGGTTCTGCATCTAGAATGATCAACAGTGGCTATGGCAGCAGCAAATCTCATCAGTACCCTATACAGCACAGGCAATGTAACAGTTTCTTACCAAGAGGGACTGACCAAACAATAGATCTTCCTTACAGGCTCATCAAGCAGTGTGCTTACATAA